ATCGTGAATAGCCGTTACCCCTATTTCACAGCTGAGGAAACTGAGTCTCAGAGAAGTTAACATGGTTTTCCTAGGATCACAGTTCTAAGCAGCAGTCTATATTTAGAGCTGAGTTTTCTGACTCCAGACCCACTCTCCTGTTTTTATGTCTTGCTGCCTTCAACTGAATATACAAACCATGACACTGGGCACAGACTTTCAAAACAACAAGCATTTTGCTGGTTTTTAAAATGCTGGTAGCAGCTGCATAGAACACCAAAATCTGGCAACCTCGACCAAAGACCGGACAGATGCAGGGCCAGAGCATTTCCTAACCAAAATCCCTAGTGTGTCCTCTCTGGAACTTGACATTACTAGTCATAAAGCTTCTTGGTTGATTTGTTCAATTTATGGCATGTAATTATTTGGGGGACTATAAATCCTTGGACATCAAGTAAATACCCATCACCTAGATTCTACAATTAACATTCTATTATACTTACTTTACCGCATATCACCCTGTCTGTCCATTCCTTTATCCAACCAGCAACCCATATTATTTTTCTGAAGTTGCAGATATCGGTAAAGTTTACCCCTAAGTACTTTGGCTTGCATATCATTAATTAGAATTCAGTATTTGCTGATGGTTCTTATTTTTTAAAGTAGAATTTGCATATAATCAAATATACAAATCTTAAGTGTACCATCCAATAAGTTTTGCCAAATGTATACACCCATGTAACTCAAACTTCCATCTAGATATGGAATATTATCCCCACCCCAGAAATTTTGTTCTCCTCATGCCCCTTCCCAGATTCCCTCCTCACTGCTATTTTAATCTTTATCACTGACTTCATCTCTTCTAGAACTATATATAAATGGGGTCCTACAGTATTTACTCTTTGGTGTAAGGATTTTCTCACTCAAGATCATGTGTTTGAGATTCATTCATGTTGTTTTGTGTATCAAGAGTTTACTCCTTTTAAATGTTGAGCATTACTCTACTGTAAGAATATACTAGTTTCTTTATCCACTTTCCTCTAATCGGACACCTGGGCTATTTGCAGTTTTTAGGTATTCTAAATAAAACTAAGAACAGTCTTACAGAGATCTTTCTGTGAATATGTTTTCATTGCTCTTGTTAAATACCTAGAAATGGAATTGCCAGGTCATAAGTAGGTATATGTTTATTGTCATAAGAAACTTTCCGAACCCTCTTCAAGGCAGTTGCACTGTTTTAACTCCCATCAACAATGTATCAGAGTCTCTGTTGCTCCATATCATCAGCAACATTTGGCGTTTTCAGGCTTTTTAATTTTAGCCATTCTGGTGGGTGTTTAGCATTTTACTTTTTGATTTACCAAACAAGAATATCCACCAAGTATATCCAGACTTGCATTACCAAGGGACATCTTGGGCAATATTGTGATTTATATTGTGATTAAGACATTAAATCTTGATTCTCCTCCTTCAGGAGTTGATTGAAAGATTCATTATTTGACAGTTAATTTAAATGATTTTGGCTTCAACCTGAGCTCCAAGTCACTGAATGTCATTGAAGTTAATCTTTCGGATGTTTTTCATTAATACTAAGACTTTCAAATTCATCAAAATGATCAGGTGAGCTCTTGACTTATGCTCAATAGAAAAATAAGTAACTAAGCACAACCTAGTCACTAACCTGTAAAATGCCTTTGACTGAATTAAATGGGGCACCACCACAGCGGTGACTCTCTTAGACCTAAACTTGTTATTAATAAGAGTGAATCCATTTAGACGAAGCTTAAGCAATACGTGGTAAAGTCATCTCCCGGTTCAATTGCTTCCAGGTGCCGGAGGAAGTCATAGGCCTAATTCTTTCTTAATGCAAATTCCTCCTCAGGCCTTCTAATTGATCCTTAGAAAGTTTTCAAGCTTTTACACTGCTGTTTTCTTGGCTTTTGCCGCATTCTCCCTGCTCTAACTTTATTGCTTATTCGTTATGAAAATAACCTGCATGATCTTAATGCTTATCAAAAATGTATCTCAGTCCACTGCTTATAGTATTAGACATATTATAAGTCATCGGACATTCTGTCTTTTAAGGAACGTTTAGTGATCAGCAGCAGTAATGCTGCTTAGAGCTCTGAAGTGGGAGAAACAAATTGTACAAGTCTTAAAGCTAATGGAACTTGGTCAAGGCAGCTCATGAAACACTCACATGAATGGTATGTTAACTTTGCCACTGCTCTTTAACGAACTTCTTTCTTCGTACTTCAGTTTAAAGGATACTCTGCAAGGATATGTAAGAATTTGTGAACCGGCAGATTTATAATGCAAACTTAGTGTTGATTAATTTTTGTCAGGCAGATTATAGTTCTGGTGGCACCTATTCAGTTCCTTCCCGTAACATCTAGGAAGGGCAAAATGCTTCCACGGTTTCGAGAATCCCCCTGGTTACAGAGGCGTTAGGGAGATGGCACCTGAGGGAATGTTATGAATTACACATTTTAATCTCTGTCCTGACTTGCCTTTTTCGGGAGCACTAAATACACAGCTTTATCGCTCACTGCCTGGCTGTAAGATAAAAAAATATACTGGTTCTTATGATATGTTAATATGGTAATCATTTGTTGAAATTACATAAAATGTCACCTATATATGAGTTTGCATATTTTGGGAACTAACCACTAGGCAGATATTTTGTACTTCTGAAAATAAGAACATACCACGGCTTGAAATGATATGACAGTGACTAATTGTCCCACACATCAAATGTGCAATATATACCACAGATTTATCATAGGTTTCTTTTTTTTTAATGTGTCTATGTGCCACCAGGGCCAATGTTATACACAGGTGAAAACAGGCAACTATTTTGGGATGATGTAGCAGCACAGGAAAAACCTGCCTGCCTTAAAATATTTTTCCTCTAGCCTGCCGTAGGGATGAGACACTTATCTTCAGATTTTCCTATCAAAAGCAACATATTAGCAGGAAATATACGAACATCACTTTTTATTATATGAACCATTAATGCCCACTATCCCTCCAGCGTCTAGCAGAACCATGAAGGGATGGAACAAAGTCAGAGACATTAGAAAGGCTGCAGATGAGGGGCGCCTGGGTGGCTCAGTCGTTAAGCGTCTGCCTTCAGCTCAGGTCATGATCCCAGGGTCCTGGGATCGAGCCCCGCATCGGGCTCCATGCTCTGTGGGAAGCCTGCTTCTCCTTCTCCCACTCCCCCTGCTTGTGTTCCCTCTCTCACTGTCTCTCTCTCTCTGTTAAATAAATAAAATCTTTAAAAAAAAAAAAAAAGAAAGGCTGAAGATGAGATGAAGTAATGAGACATTGAGTCTGTGCGGTGCAGGGGGCGGGGAAGAACCCCAGGGAGCAGGAGGGCAGCTGGAGGGTGAAGGCACCTGTGGGAGGAAGCTCTGAAAGAAAATCTGGGACTTCGGTAAAAGAGACACTTGTTTCCAACATTCGCCTAGGGCTGGACCCATGAGACACAAACGAGAAACTAACAGAGAAAGCCAGATTTTGCACTAAGCTCTTTTGAGGCACTTTGTTCTGACACAGGAAAGACAGTAACTTTGCAGGCATCGATACTACTGAGGCAAAAAATGGTGCATTTTCCTGTTACATCAGCCAGATAGTTAGATAAACTCTGGTTCATTTACTAAATAAATATGGAAAATGAAGATTGATTATCATTGTAAAGTGCTGTGTAAATGCAAATTCTTTATACTCTGAGTCCAGAGCTTAAATAAAAATCAAGTCATCATTCTTTTCTGATAATTGCCCTCACATTTTGCCAGCGACCACTTTATAAAGGAATCAAATCCAAATGCTGCATTATTTAATCAGATTTCATTGCATTCTAAATGAACGGGGATAGAAGTGAAGATGACACATTAGGACATGTGACAGAGCTCACTTGTAGGCCACTTCCATTTCTAATGTATCTCTAAATTTTATCCCCTTTATGTAGTTTGCTTTATTCAACACATGCTATTTTAGTGGCATATAAAGAGTTTTAATGACAACTAACTATTCCCTTAATAAAAATAAAAGTGATCGCTCCATGTTTTATCATATTCCCATTTATACATTTTTTTAAAGATTTTATTTATTTATTTGAGAGAGACAGAAAAAGCACGAGCATGGGGGGGGAGGAGGAGGAGGTAGAGGACAGGGAGAAGCAGACTCCCCACTGAGCAGGGAGCCCAACGCAAGGCTCAATCCCAGGACCCCCAGATCATGACCTGAGCTGAAGGTAGACGCTTAACTGACTGAGCCACCCAGGTGCCCCCCACTTACACATTTTACCATAGTCAATAGAGAAAGGCTCAAGGACTTCCGAATAAATTTTAGAGCATAAGTTCAGTAATTAATTAGCTTTAGATTGTTAAGCATACTTATTAGAATTATATTACTTTTCTTCTTCATAAAATTTTTATGTTTTCATTAAAATCTGTTGGCCTTTTATAAATTAACCATAGCAAACAATAAAGGAATATCCTTCAGACTGAGACAAAAGACCTTGATCAAAATAACTGATATCTTGGCTCTCTAATCATATTATTCCAGGGCCTTAATATTAAAAAGCTCTCATAATTGGTAACTGAATAGCTCTTCCTTAGATTCTCTAAAAATAAGAGTTTTTAATCTCTTCTTGCATGCTAGGAGAGTCTTATGACTTACATGTATTTTGGAAATTTGTTTCAACACGTAAAAGGAAAATGTCTGATACTTTCAATTACTTAAAACATTTATGATTTTAAGCTCCCAGCAGAAATCTGCTGCTGAAGGGAGAAAAAAAATTAAGAGCTGTTAGGAAGACGCTTATGTAAGAACTGTGACATCGGTCACTGCTATGAAAGCAGGAAGTCCTATATTTTAGAGTCAAGGCTTAAAGGAATCTTTATTGAGCATTCCGCGCCCCCCATGCCCCACCCCCCTCCTCGGAGCTGAGACAAATGGCTGAGGAGTGAAATCTTGAGAAATGCTCACGGCTTTTCGCCTTCGTTCTGTTGCAGCCCGGAAGATGGTGAGATCCACCCAGAAATCTGTCGGCTTTATATCCAGCTGCAGTGCTGCTTGGAAATGTACACAACAGAGATGCTCAAATCCATATGTCTGCTGGGGTCTCTTCAGTTTCACCGAAAAGGTATCTGCCTTTAGCATACCACCATAAACACTGATGTTAAACAAAAGCTTACCTTTTCCAAAGGCCTCTAAGCACCCTGCCTACACACAATTGGAATGGATGTAAATGTTCAGGAAATATTTGATACAAATTAATAAAAGAAGTCTATACCAGTACTAAGTGTGAAGAACACCAATCATCTTGAACAGAAACTGTGGGAGAAACTGTTCTCAAATGTATTATTTTACCACTTGTGAACATGGCTTTGGTTACAATCAGCACAGAGCGAAAAAATATATATATATATATATTTATATATAAATATATATATATATATAACAATCTTACTGGGGGTAAATGCCATCCAAGACCGCTGCTCTTTCCCTAACTGAATTTGGCTGCAAGAAGACAAATTACATATTATGTCTCAAAGATTTAAAAATAGGGGGAACTCAACCAACAACAGGGAGGCATAGGAGCAACAGAAAAGTCTCATTCCTTGACTTAAACTATAAAGGAACATATTGGCTCAAATGGCTGAACCGTCCAGAGATGGCAGGGACTTTAGCGTGGTTTTGTCAGTCTTTTACCTCACCCGCTGAATGATACTCTGCCTTCTCCTGGGTGTTGGCTTTCCCCCACATTAGCAAACTGATTCTCACAGTTCCAGTCATCATATCTGCATACTAAAAGGTCCATAAAGAGAATTTCTCCCCACCGGAGACTAGAAAATGTCCTGAGCTTCATTCTGATTGGACCAGGTTGGATCTTGGGTCTATACTTGAACCAGTCACTCTAGCCAGAGGGATGGAATTATACCGATTGATTTAGGCAATCAAAGGCCATTCTTGGAGCTAAGGGAGGAGTCCTCCCTACCCAACCAGTGCCCATTACATGATGGGAGCAGGTGGACTAGAACAGATGCTGGGGAGGAAACCAAAAGTTTCTGTTAGTGGAGGATTCAAGCTATATTTTCTTTACTCATTTATTGCATAGTAAATTATTGGGAAGCTCCTGAATGCAAATACTTGTCGCTTGAGCTCAGAAGAATAGGATGATGTGTAGAAGGTAATCCTTGTCTGTGATTTAAATCCTGAGAGAGTAAGCCCTATAATATTCAGGGAAAATCTTATAGAAAGGGTGGAGCTAGGTTATGAAGATAAAGTTCAAGTAGGAAAGGAAAAAGCAGGACCTTGCAAGGGAAGAAGCAGTTAACGTAGAGATTTGAAATCATATGAGCGTGGAATTTGGGGGGGAAGTAAATGGCATGACAAAGTACTTGTAAAACATCAAATCTTGTGTATTCATGGATATATGCACAAGGCAGAACTAAAAATAGGATTATGCTACACTGCTCCAGAGTGAGGAGAACATTTTCTGGAAACATGAGTATTTCTTTTTCCTTTTTCCTTCTAATGGCAGAACTTTCAACAGTTTCCTTCTTGACTTCTGTTATTACTGCAAGTGAACATGTTTGGAGAGATGAGCTTCTACACACTCCTGATGCCTGATCAGAAAATTGAATATTCACATACACTGATGCCATTCCAACAAGTTGTCCTTGGCCCAATGTCTTCACTTACCCTGTCTGCTCTCAATCTCTGTCACACACACACACACACACACACACACACACATACACACATTCTCACATAAACTTACAGAGTAGTATTTTCACTCTTTTTAATCATGGTTGAACAGAACAAAATAGTTTTTTTCTGAGGGCTGCACTGGCTACTCTTACAGTATTTTATTTCATGGCCGTGTTGCCACTGGAATCGCCCTTATTGATGACATGTCTGTAACACCCACTGTCTCCACCTCCACTCTCACTCTAACTCCTCGGGGTACCTCCTGCTCTCCTGCCATCCACTCCTACTCTGTCTTTCCATGATTGGCTTTTGAAAGATGGCCTCTTTTCTGCTAGCTCTCTATTTAGAAGTAAAAGGTAGGGGCACCGGGATGGCTCATTCAGTTGAGCTTCCGACTTGATTTCAGCTCAGGTCATAATCTCAGGGTCATAAGCTCAGGATGCTAGGATCAAGCCCCTCAAGGAGCCCCACTCAGCACAGAGTCTGTTTGTCCCCTCTCCGCCCCCCTCTGTTCCTCCTCTCCCCCTACCCTCACACTCCCCCTGCCCCGGCTCATGCATGCACTCTAAAATAAATTTAAAAAAAAAAAAAAAGGAAAAAGGAGTCCCTCATCCAGGTTTTTTCCTTATTGTATTTGGTCTTGAGCACTCAAGTAAAAAAAGCATCACCTCTTAACTGATCAGCTCATTTGGTCTTCACAGCCTCCTGTCCTCATTGTCAGTCTCTGATCTGCTTCCTTCCCTGCCTCTTCTTTTAAAAATAATTCCCCCCTTCTCTCTACTCTAGCACCCGGCCTTCTATGTACAACTCTAAAAAGAATCTGCCTGATAACGTCTTTGATTGCTCCCACATGTATGATTAAGCTCCGCTTGGACATCTATTTTATTCTTCTAAAATCAGTATTACTTAAAGTGCAAATCCTTAGAAAATCTGCTTCAAAATTACCCAGGATGCTGAATAAACATGCAGGCTCATGGATCCTGCCCAGGACCTACTGAATCAGAGTCTCTGGGGGCACTCCAGGTGATTCTGAAACCCACACAGTGAGGATTGAGAGCTGTTTCCTTTCGAAACGAAAGGAAATCTCCCCACCATATGAATACAAATTAAAACTTCCAATTCCTCACCTTGCCATTCTCTAGTCACCTAAGTATAGGCTTTCAACTTTGTTCTCAGCTTTTTCTTCTTTATCACCCAAGGTGATGAAAAGCAAACACCAAAGTAGTAGCGAGAGCTGTGTGTGATGGCTCAGGCTTTCTCCGCCAGCCCTTCACGTGACCTTGAAATCTAGCTGTGGTTCCCCAAGGCCGGCCTCTGGCCTCTGCACTGGCAGCACCAGCATCCCTTGTTAGAAATGCAAATTACCGGGTGCCTGGGTGGCTCAGTCCGTTAAGCGACTGCCTTCGGCTCAGGTC